ATGCCATCTGCTGAAAGCACAACCCACTTTGTTTGAAATTAAGCCGGACTATGAAAATTTTTTTATTTTGCACTAAACATAAAAAAACCTTCTTAGTCTGTAAATATGCTCCATAAGGGCTTCTCTAGTGGCATGCCTGTTTTATTTACATATTGTTGACATTTACAGTGTATTAAAAATGTGCAGTATTTTTTTCTTTAATTGAAACACTAAGTTATGTTGATTTACCAAAAGTGTTTCTTGTTAGATTTATACAAATATTTAATTAAAAATGGATTAATGGTTGTTTGATTACTAAAATAAACAAGAGCTGCAGCCCTACACTGGAAAAGTGATGAAGAAATAAGTAAATATTTCTTAAATCAAGTGTATTACGCCTTCATTTTAGTAGGTAAATCAGATGATTTGCCAATGGAATCAGTATTTTTACTCTTCAAATAAGAAAACTAGATATTATGCACTTGAAATAAGACAATGCAATTACTTTTTCTTATTTTAGATGTAAATTGTCTTGTTCCATTGGCAAAGTGTCTCACTTACCTCCTCAATTCAAGAAAAATGCACTTATTTTAAGAAAAAAATACTTGTTGAGATTTCATTTTTCTGCAGTGCAGCGCCATTTCAAAACACATGTCATCTAAGGCACTTTAAAATTCAACCAGATCATCCAATCAAATGGATTCAATGTTTTTTTTTTTTAAGGAAAAGCAATTGATTGTATCAACACATTTTAATAGAAAAATATTTTTATTAAAATAACTAAATTTTTTTGTTTAATTAAGCAAATAATTGAGACACTTTGCAAATGGAATAAGACAATTTACCTTTGGGATTAGAAAAAAACTACTGGATTGTCTTATTTCATGCGCATAATATCTAATTATCCTATCTTAAGAGTAAAAATGCTGATTCCATTGGCAGATCCTCTTATTTACCTACTNCGCTGGAAAAACGATGTAGAAATAAGCAAATATTTCTTAAATCAAGTGTATTTACCCTTAATTTTAGTAGGTAAATAAGATGATTTGCCAATTGAATGAGTATTTTTCCCTCTTAAAATAAACTAATTAGATAATATGCACTTGTAATAAAACAATGCAGTTGATTTTTCTTATTTTAAATGTAAATTGTCTTGTTCCATCGGCAAAGTATCTGACTTACCTCCTCCATTCAAAACAAAATACAGTTATTTTAAGAAAAAAAATACTTTTTTGCAGTGTACTTCTATTCAAAGACCAGCATTTTTACTCACAAAGCAAATTTTTAAACTTCTTACATTTGTTCAAGTAAGACTTTCTATAATCTTGTGAAGCAATATTAAGCGATAATTTTCATGGAGTTATAATGATATATATATTTTTTTTATTGCACTCCAATGTTTTTTTTTTTACTGAGTTTAGCCAAAATAAAGCTTTAACCTGGACATTTTTTTTCTTTGTTTCAAGCAGCCTTTCTCACTCTCTCTCTAACAATATTTCAGAACAAAATAACCACAAAATCAAACAGCAGATCAGAAAGTAGACGAGAAAGTGAAGGATGATGTATTTCTACATTCCTCTGGTAAGGTTTTGGATGTCGATAGTGCTTTAGATTGTTTTCACTGCAAAAAAATTTTATCCAAGAAAATTTTCAATTCAACTTCAATTCAGATTATTTATACAGCACCATTTCAAAACACATGTCATCTAAGGCACTTTACAATTCAACCAGATCATCCAATCAAATGGATTCAATGTTTTTTATTTAAGGAAAAGCAATTGATTGCATCAACTCATTTTAATAAAAAAAATATTTTTATTAAAATAACTAAAAAACTTTTGTTTAATTAAGCAAATAATTGAGACACTTTGCAAATGGAATAAGACAATTTACCTTTAGGATTAGAAAAAAGCAACTGGATTGTCTTATTTCATGCGCATAATATCTAATTATCCTATCTTAAGAGTAAAAATGCTGATTCCATTGGCAGATCCTCTTATTTACCTACTCAATTTAAAATGAAATTTATTTATTTAAAGAAATATACAATGTCTTAATTTTTATGTGCACAGTGTAATATTATTTTCAGGTATGGGGACAGGAAAATGTGTTAAGTCACCAAATTCAGGAGAAAACTTTTAAGGAACTTCATAGCCCAGAAAAATATTCATAAAGACCAATTTTAAAACGGTCTTACACCATTAATATATATATATTTTTTTTAAATCGTTTGGTATTGCTTTAAAGAACAGAATAAAAACATTTTAGTCTTCCAGACATCTTCCTCATATAATATTTACACAGAGTTATCTTAAAACAAGAGACAACTGTTAAACAAAAAAACAGGGAATACGATCTAAACTGTTGAAACCCAACAGCACTTGAGCAGGACATCAGTTCTTGATAAGTATTCACTTTTATAAAGACTCTACCTTACAGGAGAGGATGTTGCCAAAAGCGGAGAAGGTGTCGTACAGAGCTTTGTTGTCGATGGACTTGTCAAGGTTCTTGATGAAGACGTTTCCCACGCCAGACTTCCTGAGGGATGGGTCTCTCTGCGACCACATGATCCTGATCGGCTTCCCTTTCACCACGTCAAAGTTCATGGTGTCCAGGGCTCTCTCAGCTAGACGGAGGAACGGCGAAAGGTTAACTCTGTTTACCTTTTCATGTGGAAATTTACTTGGAAAACAAACCTGCAAAGGTAATACCTCTTAAACTATCAGAAGGTAAATAAATTAAATTTACTAGGACAGATTAACACAAAGTAGTGAACAGTTGTGATGTTAAAAGAAAATAATGTATTGAATTAAAAGTTTTAAGTGATGACCCAGGCCTTATGGAGCACGTCTCCAGATACGGAGGATTTGGCCTTTTTCTCTTTGCAGTACAGTTGGGGCTCCATTAGATTGGACGGAGGGTTTTTGTGAACATCACATTTTAAGTCATGCCCCAGATTCTCATTTGGATTTAGATTTAGACTTAACCTTTGCCATTCTAACACATAAATGGGCTTATATCCAAACCAAAAAAGCTTCAGTTTTGTATTATGAGTGGTCTGTTCGGTTCGGAGCATCGTCTGCCCGGCTTTGTGTTTCCTGGACGGGGTCGCCTTTTACAGCTGCTTTTTATATCTCTGCTTCTGTCTCCTTGAACCCCAGTGAGCCTGGTTCTGCTGGAGGTTTCTTCCTGTTTAAAGAAAGTTCTTCCTCTCCACTGTCACTACAAGCATGCTTAGTGTGAGGGATTGCCTTTGAGTCAATAAGTCGATGCAATCATCTGGTTTTCCTTAGATAGAAATCTTTGAATCAATATGACTGCATGATCTGTCGAACTGTAAAGTGCCTTGAGATGACGTGTGTTGTGAATTGGCGCTATACAAAAAAACTGAACTGAATTGTTCCAGTTATCCACTCTGACGTGCAATGTGAGTTTGTTTTACTTTAAATGTAATTTTTTTTTTAATCTGATTTATATGATATCCACATGCATTGTTCCACAGTCCCTACATGGCTTATGGCAAACTGCATAATGTCCTTTATTTTTACCTTTATAGCTTAATATTCCATCTGAGAGGTAGAGCTCTACAGCTTTTTCATAGATACGAATCCCTATGGCTGCTTCACTGTTTAATGCTCAGTTAAGGTGAAGAACCATAATGTCATATTGGTTTGAATAGTTTTTCATAAATTGCCTAAAGCTTGGCCCCTGGTTCTGTAATCTAACCCTATACCTCTACACATTAACTCTGACCTGTCAGCTCTCTTCTTTGGTTTTTATGCTGCTGTTTCTTCACTAACGTTCTCTAAAAAACATCTGAGTTTTTATCTGTATCTCCACTGGAATTAAATCTGTGCGTCCAAAAATACAAGGGAACTAGGTTTATTAATGAGGACGCTTCTAATGGCATTCCTCTGGATTTTATTTAGTGGTATTAAAAGAAATCTCACATTTGAATCTGTCAAAAATTAAAACAATCTTTTTGTTTACATTTTAGATTTAAGCAGTATTTTGTGATGGTCTGTAACCTAAGTATGTATAAACTGAATGCATGGCTCCTGTTAAACCAGTGATTTGGTACGACTATAATAAAAATGATGTACAGATTAAAAACATGTTATCTTCCTTTGCAGTGTGTCAAACAGTGAGGACTCCTTGTTGTAAGGCTGCTGAAAAAGCACATGGTGAAGATACGGCAGTGAAGCATGTGGCCGATGAGTTATCTGCCAGCAGCTGGGACGAGTGTGGGGCAGCTGCAGCGGCAAAGCTCACAGCACATGTCTTTCTCTTTGGACAGACCACATGCCTTGAAGCCCAAACAACAATTTCCTCCCAGAATCAATAGGATTCCCTCACATTTTGCCTAGAAAGGATCCTTTTCTACAAAACACCCGACGAAACCAATCCATAGCTATCGTTTGCTCCATCTCCCATATCAGTGTGGTCTCATGTGCTAAACATCCCCTTTTGTTCAGCCGCTCCACACACACAAACACACACAGGCTCTCCAGCTGAAAGTGTCTGGTAAACAAAACGGAGCTCCCTTTGGTCTGCTGGCATCAGCAGTTTGGCTCACAATTGTACTTCCCAGCCAGCGTGCTCACAGAAGGTGGCATCACATGGACTTCTGGAAGATTCCCAATGGAAATCGTAGACCAAGAGCTGTCCACTTAAACAGTTTAAATGTTAATAATGTTCACCAGGATGTGTAATAAGCAGGATTTCCTTTAATAATCTGGAATGATTTGCCTCAGCTGTGATCCAGCAGGCAAACTTTGGGCAACTAAGACGCAAGAGCTATATTTAGATAGTGGTCCTGGGAGGCATGTGTGCTGGCATGGAGTGTGAGTAGAGCATTCTCTACCATTGATGGGGAACAGAAATATTCAACAACACCAACACAGCTCCACAAGTGACAAAATCCAGATATCACGTCTACAACTTCTCTCTCCTTACTTAACAATTTCTACTCCAATATATAGATTTTATTTTTATTATTTATTTAAAAAAAAGCCATTTACACACTCAAAAGATACCATCTAGAGCCATACTCATCCCTTGGGGGAAACAAACTTGTCGTAACCCTGCGGTGCTTTGGCTTTTGGTAACTCCAGCTTAGATAAGCTGTCACAGGTGTTCCCTGTTGATACAACAGCAGAAAAGTTCACACAATGTAGACAGTGTCACCAAGAACCCAACGGCAACAGCAACACCTGTTACCTTTCTTCTCCATGTCTGATATAACATAATCCTACTGACCGTGAAAGTGTTTGCTGATTATCTGTTTCACTTACTGTGGATCATAGAAAAAAAGCATAAGAAAGAAATAAACTTACAACAAATGTCTTTTTAAATAATTTCAGCTTAGGATCTTGAATAGTCCAGCGGTGCCACGAGTAAGATGCTATTATATCCATGTTTTAATTAACTTTAAGATAGCAGAACAGAAAAAAGGAGACATCTAACCTGCACTGGATAAATTCAAAATCTAGATAAGTCATTTTTTCTTAAAATAAGTCCATTTGTTTTTGGATTGAGGAGGTAAAATAGACATCTTGCCAATGGAAACAGGCAATTTACACTTAAAATAAGAAAACACAATTGTATTGTCCTAATTCAAGTGCATATTATCTGATTATCTTATTTTAAGAGTAAAAATCTTCATTCCATTGGCAAACTAATTTACCAACTCAAATTAAGGGTAAATACACTACATTTAAGACATTTTTTATTATTTCTAGATCATCCCTTTAAAATCTTTCTTTTAAAATGTAAAGAATATAAAGGACCCTGTATACATATTATCAAATGCAAAACAATTAATTGTAAACATGAAAATGTATTTTAAAAACATACTACTAAAAACAACTTATTAATCTCAACAAATGTCCAATCCCTTATAGAGATTATTTTTTTTTAAGTTCAATTAACTACTTTAATAAATATTTTATTAACTTTTAATACCCACATTTTATGAGTAATCATTATATCAGCTCTGCCTACATAATACAGTATTTTACTTCTTGAACTTAGTAAGTAAACTATGTAGTTTCTAGACTTCAAACACTAACCTTTCAGGTCTAGGAACATATCAGGTAGGTTTCAGGAAAGTAACTATAAAGTTGCAGTAAAATCTTGTGAGCTGCAGAATTTGGGAAAAAGAACCTGACAAGGAACCTCTGAGAGGTTCCAGGTTCTGTCAAAGTATCGGGGAAATCCAGAGACGTGTGAACTGAATAAGAAACCTGATTTAAATTACTGAAGGATGTTATTCTAACAAAGTTATCTTCTAAAATAAATGTGTAGATGCATGTCTGAAAATCAGAGATTTTTCTGCATGTTTAGTGTCGATGAAAAGGTTCCCTTTAGCAGGGGCGAGTTTAGGAAATTTGGGGCCCTAGACAAAGACAGGCAGGGGGCCCTCTGAATTAACAAGACAAAACATAAAACAGACCCATTATACAGAACCAAAAAATTTTATATAATAGA